ATATACACACTGTGTGTGTATGTACACACGTGTGTGTGTGTGTGTATGCTTTTGCTTGTAAGTGGTCATGAAAATGCAAAAGCCACCAGGACAACTGACTTTGATAAGTAGTGAATGGAGGGATTGGGCAGAGTACAGAAACCAACAATCTTATATGAGTGGTTCTCTGTTTCCAGCATTGATCTGTTAATGCAACCAGTTAATCATGACATTTATTATTCTTCTGGGTTGCCCCAGCTTTCTGTGATGCCCTCTCTAAATTTCTGGGGACTGGCAGTTTTTACCTTTTTTTAAAATCTTCTTTTACCCTTACAATGTGTGGGATTCTTTTGGTCCCTCTCTGCTTCACCTCCTCACCTCTTCCTGTTTTCTTTTTTTTCTGGAAGATTTCATCTGTTAAAGAGGTTTCCTATCATCGACTTGGAATGTGCGTTCTGACTGTGCCTGACAGCAAAGGTCTTTGATGTTTGTCCAAGGCTGAATTCTCACCAGATTCCCTGGTGTTTTTCCCCCAGCACACAGGGGCCTGCCTGTAAGGTGAATTTGCCTTGTATCATTGATATGAAGGGTTGGTGGGGCCTGCTCTTTCTCGTGATCTGATGGGCAGTTAAATTGCTGGACTCTGTAGTTGTTGATGCCTTTACCAGAGAGTTCCTGCGTGTGTTCAAGAAAAGGCCGAGATCTGTTATGTTTGAAAGATGGGACTCGAGAAGCTCACCCCTTCCCATGGAGATTTCCATAAGGATAATAAGGTTGTGCTCAAGAGGCTCAGCCTCTCTTCCTCCGTCATGGTATCGGGATTCTACCTTAATCTCTCCATCATCCTGCCAGCCATGTCTCATTTCTCACACTGGAACACTCCCTCCTCCCAAGCTCAGCGTGAACCACCAGTCTAGATGCTTTATCTGGTCCAGGCTCTAGCCCTTAAATTGTCCGTCTGGCTTTGTGTTTCATTTGACCCTAATACACTGGGTCGCACTGTCTAAAAGAGAATTATGTCCCCTCCGATGTCTGAGTGCATTTCTCATTTCTTACTGCTGCTCCTGAGCAGATCTGTAACTTCAAGGTTAAGATAAGACACATTCCATCAGAACTATGTCGTCATCCTTGCCAGCTTCTGATCTGTGACTGTCCAGGAGATTTACAAGACAATTGCATGCCATTCTTTACAGAATATTATGGTTGGACTCTGACTCCTGGCATCAGGCCCAATTTGATTTGTCAGCTGTTGCAAAACCCATTTCCCAAAGAGAAAAGGATCTTAGCCATGTGCCTTTTAGCCAGTTGTTAAGAGTGGGAAAGAGGGAATTGATCTGGTTCTTTATTCCCTGATATTTTAAGGAGAAAGATGGACACCAGAATGTTTTTGTTCCTTTCCTCATTGGATTTCCTTGTTTTCCTGAAAGGTTTCACTAAAATCTTAGTATTGCTGTCATTCGTTCCTCTCCCTTATCCCTTCACAGAACTGCTGTTTTTTCATTCTGCAATCTCCAATGTTTCCCTGAGTTTTAAGGAGTAAGAATTTTGCACTTGAGAGAAAAGGTTGCCTGCCTTTTCTCTGAAAGTTTATTAGTTTACCAGCACCAGGTTAACAAAGACAAGGTTCCTCCTTTCTTGCTCTCTAACATGTTGAACTGCGGGAGTTACTGCATGTGATATGGCTTAATGGCTTAGGAATTTGGAAGGTTACGTATTTCCTGCTGCTGTTGTATTAGGCCCTGTAATATTTTATAAAAGCTTCTCTTGAGGGACTTAACAGCCTGTGGTTTCAACATAAACTCACCCTTTCCCTTGGAGGTAGGCAGTGGGGATTTATTTGACCCCCTTTAGTGATTCTGGGGTTAGACCTAAAATTTATTTACTCAGGATCACACATGGCAAGTTAATCACAGAATCACAACTCTGATCTAATTCCTTTGGCATTGTTTTCATATCGCTTAACTACAAAAAGTTTTAAAAAGTTAGGAAGAGTCGAGAAAGGCAAATTTTACTCAGATTTCCTGATGAGTCTATTCAAAGTTGAAGAAATTCTCATAGTTGAAAACTGTCCATTGTGCTCTTATACCCTACAGTTTCTTCTGTTTGATAGGCAGAATCACCATTCTTTTTTTTCTCCCCCTCAGTCGGGTTCTTTGCTTTTGATTGTCCTTTATTCATACTCTCTTGTGGCAGCAGCCTTTGTCTCTAAAAGACTCATATCTGTAAAGAAGAGAGCAGAGTTGTGGAGCTCTCTAAAATGTTCTTTAAGGCCAGCAGAAAGGAACATTCATGGGTCTGCAAGTCTCTTGAGTCTCTCTTTATCTCAGTCCCTCCTTTTGTCAAGTATTAGGAATTTTTAATACATGAGGTTTTAATTATTATATTGTATAATTAATGTTCCAAGTGGGTAATTATTTAAAAATTTGTTTTATAATATTACAGAATCAACTGAGAAGTGGTTTTCAATTAACAGCAATGGTTGTGACTGGACTGTTCCTTCCCCTTCTGTTTTTTAAAACTACTGGAGAATTAAATTGTTTTCTATCTATAATTTTAGTCGAAAGATTCTTAGGTCGTGCTTCAAGTCCCTAGATTCTGTTTTTGAATCTAGTAATCCCCCCAAGAAGGAAAGTTGTATAGTATCTTTGAAATACTTCTCTTCTCCCTTTCTTGTTACTCCCTGCACCTGCCCCCTCCCAATTTTAATTAACTGTTCAGTGACAGATGGTAGAAAAGGCCTTGCCTAAAGTGTTCCTGGTGGGCTGGATTAAGGGGTCGGTAGTTTGTCCTGATCGTGTTGTAGAAGGATCTAGCCTTTCCCCGCTCCCGCTTCCAGTAGAGCGATAATCCTGTTAGATCTTAAAATGCTATTGATTAAATTCCCAGTGCTCTTAGAGAAACAAGCACAAATTCTGGATTTAAAAACCCAAGAGCCAATTCCCTGGAGCTCTGAATGCCTTAGACTTGAGGCCAAGGGAGGTACCTTCCAACTTCTCCACCCAGCCTTCTCTGAAAAGGAAAGTTAAGCCTTTTAACTTTTCCGTTTGCTTCTCACCCCCCTTAGTCTAGTACGGCTGCCAGTTGCCATGGCAACGGACTGGGACAGCTGCGCAGTGGCGCCTAGGCAGCTGGGTGGGGGCGGGGGAGCTGCCAGCCCGCCAAGCCCCAGACCTGGGAGGGGAGGCCCCTCCTGTTAGCCCAGAGGGAAAGAAAGAACTGGGGCGATCCGGTAGGTAAAGGAGGGAACCCCCATTCATCTTCTGCCTTCGGGGCTCCTCTTCTGCATGAAGGTATAAAGGGAGATTTCCCTCTTTCCTCCCTGAAACTGAAGAACACATATGTAAATCCTTGTTTTTCCTCGTGAGGCAGGGGAGGCCATAGTCACAATGCTTAACTGCATGCATCTAACCCGGGGCTGGTTTTAACCCTGGCGCTCTGACCTAAACTGCTCAGCTCCCGGAAATTCCAAGGTGAGTGGGGGTGGGGTGGGGTATTCTCCCTGGAATATGACATTTCCTGTCTCTGGTGAGGTTGGAGGCTGCTTTTATTTTAAATAAATCAGATTTTTTTTTTTCCTTGAAGCTAAAGGACTTTCATCTGAATTCGTGGAAAAATTATTGTGAAACTCCTTACCTTACATTCCCCCCACTCCTACTCCCTCATCCAAATGAAGTATTTTGATAAAAACATACAGTTTTTTGGGTGGGCAGACCTATTGCTAGTAAGTTTTGGAGGTATGATTTACAACTATATATTCTTGGAATAATTCCCTAAATTATGCTAGTTCGAAGTAAATTGATTAATGCAACTTTTTATGGTACACAAAGACAAAATTATGAGATTAGTAGTGACCTTTCCTATTCCTGGGGTGGTCATCTGATCAGAAAGAAAATGTTTTTAGAATGCTGAAAAAAAAGCTTTAAGGTTTACAGCAAGATAAAACGGAGTTCAGCTAAGAAAACAATCCCTGCTACTCTATAATCCAGACTCTAGGCACCATTTAACATGGTTAAGGAAGAATTCTTAAAAATGATTGTGGTGACAACAAGGAGGGAATTTAAAACACTAGAGTCTCTGCTGCGTACCCCCTGGTTGTGCATATTTCTGAGCTTAACTCAATTTCCATTTGTGTTGCCTTACTTCAGCTTTCCTTGGGTCTATGAATGGTTCTTCTGTGTTTTGAGGCTTCATGTTGATGTGAGTCTGCCACCAGACCTCTTTTTTCCTCCTCCTCTTCCTTTGGCCCAAAGTCAGCTCCAGTTAAGAGGAGAGATACCTCCTTAATATTTGGATTAGTTGAGTCTTAATTACTGAACAGCCCAATGACTAGTTTTGATTTTTAGGACTGAAAAATATTTTTCTCCTCCCCGCCTCCCTCTTATCCCCAAATAAAAGATGAGGCTTAATATATTTGAGGTGTCAGCCTTGCTTTTGTGAGCTGATGGATGCTCTGAAGGGACAAGCTCAATTTGTTGAAGGGAAATGTACCGAGTCACTGAAAATGTGGTGAAACATGCCCGAGCAGGCCTTTTTTGTTCTGCTGAGAGACTGTTCAGAATGCTCAGAGCAGAGGAAAGTTATATTTTGGTGGCTTTTCTTTTTTTCCCATTTTTATAAAAAATCTTATTTAAGCGGAAGGTTTTCCATATTTCTCTTCCGGTTTATGACTTGTAGACAGTTGTAGAGGTACCAGGAGTAAAATAACCACACACTACTTGTTCTATGGAATCTGAAATTAGAGTTAGATAATTGTGCCCATCTAATAATTTTGATCTTGTGAGCTGATGAGAAAGTTGTAATTAAGAAAGTGGGGATCTGCCCATTTTTGGTTAAATTCTTAGGACTCATCTGTAGAATGTTTCAGGACCCAAGAGAAAGGTATATGGCAGCTGTGTTATACCCGCTGCATCCCATCAAGAAGAGTGACCGTGTTAACTGCTCACATGGATTCTGACCATTTTTGTCCCTCCCGTTTGCAGGAACCCGGTGGCCTTAGTCCTTCAGGGGCATCAGCGGGAGACATGGGGAAGAAAACCAAGCGGACAGCTGACAGCTCTTCCTCAGAAGATGAGGAGGAGTACGTTGTGGAGAAGGTGCTAGACAGGCGTGTGGTCAAGGGGCAAGTGGAATATCTACTGAAGTGGAAAGGCTTTTCCGAGTAAGTACTTTCTCAGACAGGTAGACAGCTTTGGTTCATTTCCCTGGGAACCATCACCATCTTTGTCTTATTCTTTCCTCGCCTGCACTCCTTTCTGAGAGTCACAAGACACAGCAGTAAACTAAGCAAGGTCTCCCCTTCTTGGAGCTGATGTTCTAATGAGACTGCTTTTGAGAGGCAGTGTAATGAACTGGTTAGAAGCATAGATTAGGGGCCAGATTGCCTGAGTCCAGATTCTTGCTCCCACTTACAGTATGAGCTGGTTGACCTTGGTGAAGTTCCTTAATCTTCTTTCCTCAATAAAATAGGGATAAGAAATAGTATATATCATAGAGATGTTGGGGAAATGTATAGAGTCAGACACATAAGGTCAGTGTAAGTGTAAACTGTTATTGTTATTATTCTTTTGGATGTAACTAAATTAAAATACATACATTTAAGTAGAAGAAGTTGTAGTTGATCCCATAGCGCTCCATAATGACCCTTGGCTCTCAAAAGTGTTCTAGGATGAAGCACTCATCTTTGTTATTTTTTTAACACTCATCCTAATAAGAGACTTAAATCTGAGACCCAGTATTTATTTTTAAAAATTAAAAATATATGTATAACTGACACAAAAGAAATTGAGTGAACACTCAGATACATACCACCTGATTTCTACAATAACACTTTAATCTTTGTTCCTCTGTCTTTTTTACTATTATTTATTTTAAAGACCTTAAAACCCCTCTTACGTCAGTGAGCTCTAAGAATGATGCTGAAGTTCTGAGTATTCAGAGTTAGGCAGTAACTGGCTTTAAGTGCTGAAGTAAATATACACATACTGAAGCACAGAAGAGGTAGCTTGAAAAGTGAATTACACGAAGCTGTGTAATCATTAGGCATTTTGCCTTAATTTCTCAGTTCTCTTCCCAGAATGCCTGACAACAAAGAATGGATTTCTCTGAACACCAGTGAGCTGATAGGAACTGGTTTAGGTTCCTAGGAGTGTTCAACAGAAATGGAATGCAAGCCAGATGTATTAAATTTTATGTTGGCTACATTAAGGAAAAGTGGAATGAATTTTAATAATATCTTTTATTAGACACTCCCATCAAAATGCTATTTAAAAATTAATACAAAAATTATTAATGAAATTTTATATTTTCATGCTAAGAATTTAAAATCTGTTGTATATTTTTCATTTTATAGCACATCTCAGTTCATACTAGCCACATTTCAAAGGTTCACTTACCATATGTGGCTAGTAGCTACCTTATTGAACATCACAACTTTAAAGTGTGAGACTTGAATAAAAGATTGAATGCTTTGTCAGTACCTTTGGACAAAGGTATGATCAGGAGCCTTCGGAATATAGTTAAGGTTATTATGGGAATCAAGTTTCTCATCTGGAGCATTGTTGGTGTTTTAGGTGGGACAGTTCCATGTACTGCAGGGTGCTTAGCATTTGTAGCACATAGAGAACTAAATGTGGGTAGCACAGCAGTCAGAATATGCCCTCCATATTTCTAAAGAAGCATGGTATCACAACATCCTCTAGAGATGAGCACTATGAATTTGAGAGGCCTAGCGGATCATGAGATAGGAATTAAAATACACCTGAAGGGGGCTTCCCTGGTGGTCCAGTGGTTAAGAATCTGCCTTGCAATGGAGGGGACACTGGTTTGATCCCTGGTCCAGGAAGATCCCACTTGCTTCAGAGCAGCTAAGCCCTGTGTGCCTCAGTTACTGAGCCGGCACTCTGGAGCCTGTGCCCTGCAGCAGGAGAAGCCAGCACAGTGAGAAACCTGGACACCACAACGAAGAGTAGCCCCTGCTTGCTGCACCTAGAGAAAGCTTGAGCGTAACAGTGAAGATCCACCACAGGCGAAAATAAATCTTTAAAACCAAAGATACACCTGAAGACTCTAAGGGTGTTTATTTGGCTCATTGAATCATCACTGGAAATTGTTGGGTGTTCTGAAGAATTTGAAGACTGTGTAGTTGAGCTATTGGTACCTTACGTAGATAAAAGAGGTAAAGAAAATATTTAGGGTAGATGGATTAACATTTGTCTTGAGTTTTTCAGAAGTATCCGGAGTCTCATTAAAGACTGAGACAGATTGTGCCCCTTCAACATTGTCCTACCTGTTGTTTGCTAGGCAGTGGGTATATCCTACCTCATGTGTTCTCTGTAATTCTCCTAACAGCCTTTAGAGGTATTTTGAGTTTACAGATGAGGAAATTAATTGTTTACCAGAGATAACATACCTGATACATGCTAAAACAAGGATCCAGCATCACATTTCTTTGGTGCTAAAATCCAGATTCTTTGTAAGTTATACCATGCTGCCTTTTGGGTGAAAATTGATTGCTGTAGAAACAATACCAACTTGGTTGGGAAAGGGATAATCCCGTTAGAAGGCTGGCTTTCCTTGGTGGCAACAGAGACTCTCCTCCTACCTCCGCATCTTAGCTTGCTTACTATACTACAGGGTTGGCATGCCTCTTGGTGCCTTCATTCTCCTGGGATTGTAAACTATATATAATCTGTGAATTTGGGAGAAAGTTATTGTATGAGGGTTTTTTTTTTTTTTTTTTTTGGCTGAAAGAAGAGCTATGAGGGAGAGGCTTTCCAATTTTAGCTCAAATGATTTAGAAATAAACTTTGTTTCATTCTTAAGCTCTTTTTGCAGAAAGCTAAGTCTAGAGTATACCTCAGATTTTTCCATCATTCTTTTTTATTTTTTCCATCATTCTTATTGTTATAGCATGTGTTCAAACCATTCTCATTTAAAGATACTTCATTGTTTTTTTTTTAAATAAAGTATCTAAAATAAATAGTGCGTAAATGTAAAAAATATTTCCTAAGTCAGTGAAGGGATTATAGAAACTGTCTGTGATATGTGTACAGATATATCTTAATGTAGCTAGTTCTTAATGAAAGAACCTCTGCCACTGGCTAGGAGTGAAGAAGATGCCTGGTTTGGTTTTTCCCAAAGAAGATACATTTCTTGCTTTGATTCCATAGCCTGCTATTGGTATTGGTGATTTGCATTTCTAAAATCCATGCTGGGAATACAGAGAACAAGTTTGTGAATGCAAACTTTGTTTTCCTCATAGAAGGACTCCCCTTGATCCAGGTTTAATTAGACACAGTTATTTAACTTAAATTATTTTTGCTTATTAATGTAGAAATGCATTTTGATTACCTAGAGACAGTAGACTTGAATCCATAGCATTGAATTAATGTGCTCCAAATACCAATTTTGAGTCTTTTCCTTCTTATGGTTCGCCTAAATTCTAATGATTTAAACCCTTACTGCCTTTTTTTCTAATTAACTATTTCAGCCTTCCAACAATTTGTTGGCATTTCTTGGAAATATAAGTAACATAATTAAGACAGTGTAAACTGGAATGCATTTAGAATTAGATTGTCCTCTCTTCAGGATTTGCATAGATGATGTATGAAATCACATTTGCCACTTACAAAGCAGAACTTACATTTGAGTGTTTAACAGGTTTATTGAGATGCAGTTTACATACCATAAAATTCGTCTATTGAAGTATACAATTCAGTGATTCGTGATAAATTTTTAGTTGTGCAACCATCAGCATAGTCCAGTTTTAGAACATTTCCATAACCTCCCCAAATTCCCTTGGATATGTTTGTATTTAATTGCAAGCCCTAGCGGCAAGGAACTACTGATCAGCTTTCTGTTTTTCAATGTCTTTCCTAGACATTTCGTATAAATGGAATCAGACAGTGTATGGTGTTTTGCATCTGTTTTGTTTTAATTTAGCACAGGCTTGAAGTTCTTCCATGTTGTAGCATATATTTTAGTATTATGTTCCTTTTTTGTTGCTGAATAGTATTTCATTGTATGGATATACCATATTATGTTTATCTATTCACCAATTGGTAGGCATTTGAATTGTTTTCTGTCTTTGACTACTAAAATGCTGCTAGTAATTGTGTGCAAGTTTTTGTGTGTGTGTGGATATATTGGATAGATTTCTAGAATCAAATTTATTATCTCCTTTAAGCATAGGGATTCTATTCCTTTTTTCCTATTTGTCTTCTGTAAAGTAAGGTATTGGATTCCTTCCTACCCCAAAACTTCTTCATTTCTTTCCTTTTTTCTCCATTCTTCTTGCCCAGGGAGCACAATACTTGGGAACCTGAGAAAAACTTGGATTGCCCTGAGCTGATTTCTGAGTTTATGAAAAAGTATAAGAAGATGAAGGAGGGTGAAAATAACAAACCCAGGGAGAAGTCAGAAAGTAACAAGAGGAAATCCAATTTCTCAAACAGTGCTGATGATATCAAATCCAAAAAAAAGAGAGAGGTAAGCTTTATTTCTCCTCTCCTCCCCCACCCCCCAACTCTTCTGCTTCCCGTGCTTCCTCCTCACTCCACCCAAAAAAAGGGGACACTGTTTTGGTTGTTTTTATTCTAAGGATGGCCTGTAAGGTAAATTGTTGAATGAAAGAGCTTTCGGGGAGTTTTGTTGATCCACTACAGCGTCCCCTCCTGGCTGAGTAAGGAATGTAATATGCGTCTGCTGAATTGTGTTAAGGTGACAAAATTAAATCCCTGTAAAACATTCAGCCACTCTGTGCCTTTTTCATGAATAGGTGGCTGAGTTGTCTTACGGAGAGTCTTGTGAATTTTTTAGGGATAGTTTTAGGGATAGGAAGAAGCTTTAAAATATCTACCACTTTTTTCGTTTATTCCAAAGATAGCACTTAACTTTAACCCTTTGTATTCTTTCTTTTTTAATTCAGGTGAAATCACATAACATACAATTAACCATTTTATTTTATTTTTAAATTATTTATTTATGGCCACAACAACACATGTGGGATCTTAATTCCCTGACCAGAACCAAACCCACGCCCCCTGCATTGGAAGTGCATAGTCTTAACCACTGGACCGTCAGGGAAGTCCCCAATTAACTGTTTTAAAGTGAACAGTTTAGTGGCATGTATAGTCTCTTTTGATCCTATTGTATTTTTACATACTTCAAATAAATTAATTTTCATCTTCCTTTTGAATCTTTATTGTTGAGTTTTGAAAATGTGTTTATGAAATTTTGGTTTGATTCAGTTATTTTAATCCTTCTGATATTTAGCCCTTAAGTAGCCATAAGCACTGTTACTGTCTTTTTTTTCTCGTCTATGTCTTTTCCATCTGTGCACATGTGTCTCCACCCCCCCCCCCAACCCCACAGCTTCCATTGCTTTCATTAATTTCAAGGTTGTGAAGTCTTTTGTGGTAAAAGATATATCATACCCTTAAAGTTTAACACAATAAAAGTGTAGGTTTGCTTCTGAATCTTCTAGCGTCCCTGCCATAAGCGTCCATATTTATCTTCATTCTCCTTGGATACCCGTCTTGCTAGAGCATTAGTTCTCAGCCCTGGCTGCATATTAGACTCATGGCAGGAGGGCAGGTGGGTGTTTCAAAAGCCTCCTGTGCCCAAGATGCACTCCAGACCAATAAAATTCAAATTTCTGTGGGTTGGACCTATGCATTAGTATTTTCTAGAGACTTACACAGGTGATTCCTGGTCTCCAGAGGAGAGAAAATGGGAGAACAGCTTTCCAAAAAGAATTGAAATAAGAGTGAAAGATTGGAGGCTGTCAGTGAAAGTGGACTCTAGTATTTTGTTTGTTTCCCTGATTAGTTTTATGTTTTGCAGTCTTATTCTTTAAAACTGCCCTATTCTGGTGAGGTGTGTATATCATTATGATATCGCGTACTAGTAAATAATTTGAAAATGCCTTCCCTTCTCTAAGGAGCTAAGACTTGGCTCTATCTTTCTTTTTACTTTTTTATTAGTCCTTTGTATTCTGGTTTTTGTCATTTGATGCATATTCTAGCTAAGTAAGGAGACCAAGAAACAACACAGCATGACTTCTGTAGCCATTTTTGACATATAGTGTGTATTTCCTCAACCTAAGGTTTCTATTCTTTTAAAAAGGAGTAGTCTGGGGGAGGGGGCAAGAAGAAAAAAGGAGCAATCTGACTTTGAGACACTGGCCAGTGCAGTTTCCTTCCTAGGCCAGGTTTTGATGCTGCCGACCTTGAAAACCACCCCCCCACACCCATGTCCTTACATTGTAATGTTCACCTGGGGCCCCTGGCAGCATTCTCAGCAGTGCTGATGGCTGTCATGTAGGCAGCTGGGAAGATAGGTGATTGTATATTTTAAAGGTGCAGGAGGGGATTTCGTTTCTTTCTTTAGACCACTGCAGAAGAAATTTGTTAGTCGGCATTATGCCTGATTTAAGATTACTGCCTGTGTGATGATTTTAGCATTTTCCTCGCCTCGGCTCCTTTTCAGCAGCTTGAACATTTTTCTTCTCTTCCCTCCCAATGTGGCGAACTGTTTTCAGCCGCCAGCTATGATTTACGACTTGGTTGCTGTGCCAGCATTCCAGCTGTGAGCAGCTGTGTGCACATCTGGGAACCTCCTCCCTTTAAGCGCCCCAAAAGAGGCTATGCTTTTGAGCCTGTATGTCCCCTGATTCATGCATGGGATTTCCTGCTCTGTATGGGTCCTGGTATCTTTGGGACCACCTGGATACTGAAGGCTTTGTATCTCTCAGAAGAAAGCAAGATGAATGGCAGATCAGAGATTTTATCACGAAAATCAGACATTGGCGATTTAGTTCATTTGGGCAGTCTTTCTAAGTCTTTTTTGTGTTACCATTAGATAAGCTGGCATTATCTTCCATAGTAAGGTTGTTTAAATTACCTGGTTTGTATAAAATTTCACCATTTTGCTCTCACCAGTGCCGTCACACCTGAATCAAATCCTGTGCTCCTTATCTAGATTGCATGACTGCAATTTGACCAAGTTTGAATAATCCCCTACAGAATTTTTTTGTTTTAAATCCCTCTCCAGTTTACTCTATAAAGCTAACAACCTATCTCCATCAGGAGGGGACAGGCACAGATCAGGGCCTCTTCCCCAGTGCATGGGGATTATAGTATGTGATCTCTGAAAGAAATTTGCTGTTTTACAGTAGTTCTTTGAATCCCTTCTTAATCACTGTTCATTTGTAAGTACAGATGGCTATGCGAAAAGAAGTATTAAAAATACTGGTCAGTGTTAGGTGAACTGAAAGTCCAGAAAACAAAGATTGAGAGGTGGTATAGTTGAAGTTTATAGAATGAAAAAGGATTTAGTTTACCTGGACTTGTTTATCATCTGAGAAGCAAGTTTAAGGATATTAGGGGATGAGAGGAGTTCCTAGATGATGACTCCAGAATATTTAAGGGATATTAAGCAGTTTTAGGGGCCACTCCCAATCCTTTGACGGAATACTAGAAGGACAGCTGCATCTTCATGCAAAATAGCTCTTAGCATCTCTGTTACTGGCTGACCCAGTATTGTATTTCTGAAGTTCTAAGAACTTTATGAATTGAGTGACAAAAATGGTATCCAGTAATATTAACTTAGGTTGTGCTTTGTTAAGCTGAGAAACAGGGAGGTTTTTTACTCTTAGCTCCAAGCTATAACCTTTCTTTATCTTCTGTTTATAGCAGAGCAATGATATCGCTCGGGGCTTTGAGAGAGGACTGGAACCAGAAAAGATCATCGGGGCGACAGATTCCTGTGGTGACTTAATGTTCCTAATGAAATGGTGAGAGAGATTGGGCCTCCCTCTGCAATTGTGTTTCTTTACGGTGACTTGAATTCGTGTGGAAGATGGAGTATTCTCCAGCTAAGAATTCTGATCATCAGGGATCTAAATTTTTAACTGATATCCGCTGTCAGTGTTAAATGGGAATTATGGTTCAGAGTGGATTTAAGATTGTAAAACTTTGGTATTAAGCCAAATTACATTAGCCCACATACCAGAAAATGGTAGAATTGAGGTAGGAAACATATAAACATGACCTAACCATTTATTTACACAGTTCTGAATCATTTACCGTTATACCATGAGCCTGTGGCCATGGGACAGAAATTGAGTGAGGCTTTCTGCCACCACTGAAGACCAAGACCGCTGAATAATGTGTAAAAGAGAAAAGTAATCTTAACCAAAAGCATTAAGGATAATAGTAGCCAAAGCACAAGTTATTTCATCCGGTGGAGGGAATAGCTCTTAGAGGAAAGTGTAGTTACTTCCCCTCAGCTTGGTTTCTTAAAGACAGAGTGATTTATGGTGTAGCCCCACTATCTCTCTGTTTCCAAGTGTTCTGGCTTGTGATTTAAGTTTGATCTCTAAATAGAGGATTCCTGCTACAGTGCCACTAAGGAAGCTAATTACCTTAAAATTTGGATAGTCAGGTTTAATATTTTATCTGATTGAAATTTTGCTGGTAAATTACCCAGAAGCCTACATTTGAAGAATCACTACAATCTGTCCAAAGTCAGGAGCTGTATTGACTGCTTTTCCCACTTATCCATATGTGGAACTTAATGACTTACATTCACATATTAACTAGCTTTTTCCACCATAATCCAAATTTGGGTAGCTGCTCTAAGCTGTGTGTTTTCCCCCTCCTCTTCCTACCCATAATGCTTACCTCCATGAGGTCAGCATCTCCGTTTTCTAGAAAAGGAGTTAGGTGGAAGGGGATAAAAAGGAGTGAGTTGTCTTTTCCCACATCTCAGTGGAATTTTAATTTAAAAAAAATTTTTTTTTCTTGATTTGGAATCCTGGTTAAGGAACTTGCTAGATTTTTGTTGTTTTTGTTACACTGGATAGTAAAGCAAGTGTAACTTGGGTAATTGAAATTTGCAGCTAATTACTACATTATGTTTTAGTGACTAGGTTTTACATTCTTTGCTGACTTAAATTTCTATTTTCTTATTGTTCCAACCTCCAGTTTTGACCAAAAGGATGAGTGTTTAAAGAGTCAAGAGATAAGGAGGGTTAGGACCCTTTCATGATTCAGATGATCCAGAAACTGGATTGAGCAATTTATGCGTTATCAATAGAGCTGAATGTAGCTTTGATTGTGTGTTCACTCACATGCTCATATACACAAATAAAACTTATGAGAGCAGAATTTATATAGTAGTTTAATTTCCAGTCTTTTAATTAAACCCGCTGTGTGTTCCATCTATTCTAGCTGAAGACTTCTGTTTCTTCCTGATGTAGTAGTTAAATGATGTTTACTAACAATTTGATTCACTGACTTAAATTTCTCCTTGAAAGCATGGAGCCGTTAGGATCCTTTTCCCTTTGATGAAGAGGAAATCAAGTCAGCTAATTCATAACTCAGTAATATAAACCAGTGTTTGGACAGACTCTGATTCTTCCTCTTTTCTAAGTCTCATATTCTTTCTCTCCAGGAAAGACACAGATGAAGCAGACCTGGTTCTTGCAAAAGAAGCCAATGTTAAATGTCCACAAATTGTGATAGCATTTTATGAAGAGAGACTGACGTGGCATGCATATCCTGAGGATGCAGAAAACAAAGAGAAAGAAACAGCAAAGAGTTAAAGGAGGGGGTGGTCTCTGTCATTTCTCTTTGTACATAATACATTCAGCTCCCTGCCTCCTCTCCTTTCTACCCATCCCCTTCTATCCTAAACACATCCATAAAAAATGTGCTTATCACTGTGCTCCACAGGAGAAATGTTGGTATTGGTTCTCTTGTAGCATAACTGATGGTCTGATTCATGATAAGTGTCTCTCTGTGAAGACCAGGCATTTACATACTGTGTGTAATTCCCAGCATTTTTTCCTTTGCCCTACTCTCTTCCTTCTGCTCCCCTGTGACCTCAAGATTAATTTTAACTTTTTAATCACCTTAGAGTCTTGATCTTTTCAGGGTTGGTTGCTTTTTAGGTGGGGGATTTTGTTACAATGATGTTGAATTTTGGTTTCTTGCTTTGGCTCTTAGAACATGTTGATGACCAGCTAGCCTTTGTTTTGAGATGTTGGGATGGAAAAGATGTTGCCCGTCTTTTTAAAAAGCCAATAGCAACTGCCTACCTGTTGGGGCTTTCCCAACCTCATTCAGCTCTACCCAGGAGAATACAGGGTTCCTGATGTGGTCTTCTGGGCCACCCTGTGTCGTTCGTCCTCACCATCCTCCCAGAAGAGTGGCATCCTTTGGAGGGCTTGAAATTTTACCTTCAGATTTGTCAAGGCACTCCTTCTACCCCCAGGACTTTTGGCCTTATTTCTTAGCAATCCCTGATTTGGCTTCTGCAAGTTGGTGAAGTCTGTTAGAAAATGACAAGATTATTAACTGGAAGTTTATAGCTACTAGTACATGAGGATGATGGGGTAGGATACAGTTGTCTTTACTATCGCATTTGGCATGTATGTGTGATTTCCTTCCATCTCTCCCATTTGGATTATATATTTACATAGGGGTGAGTGACTGCCTGGTGCTTGTGCCAAGGTGCTAAGCACCCTCCAACCCTGCCAGTTTTTGTGGCCTCCCAAAGCAGTCGTGTTACCAAAGAGGCTTCAGACTTGTCAGTGGACCCCACTTTCCCCTCCACGCCATTATTTTCAGTGGGGAATTCTTGGAGGGGAGCCACTGGCCACAGTATCAATTTTAAATATTCATAGCATTTATAATCATAAATTCCTTGTTTTGTTGACTTCTGGATTTGCCACCAAGAGTCCCCAAAGTGTTACTTCCCTTCCGTTTTTCCACCCTAAAACTCTTAGTTGGATCTTTTTTTTTTTTTATTAGTTTTTGTGGAAGACTATCAACCCCTGAGAATGACAGGCCCCAGCATTAGCATGTTGATACAGCCTCTCCCCAACTCAGCAAAGTATTTCTTTTTTGGCTTCTTCCTGCTTTGCCATTATGTTGAGAGGTTATTTTTCTGATTATTGCCTTCAGCCTTTGTTCCCCAAGAAACACCCTACTTCTCTTTTCCCTTTTTTTCTTGTAGTTAAAGGGGGCTAGAGAATCAAGACTAAAAGTAAGGAAATAGCAGGGTTTTGAACATCCTTGTCCCAGCCTGAAGCTGAGGAAATAAGAATAAATGCTTGAAATAGCCTTAACTCTAGAGTTCACCAGCCATTGAGGTTGTTTTTGTGGTTGGTTTTGATTTTTAAAACATATAGCTGTCTGGCCAGGAGCATTCAACCATCTCTAGATTTTTCAGAGTAATGAGGGGAAAGGAAAGATTGATCCAGTTCACAGATGAGCCAAATAATATGCAAATCATATACCCATTTATAGCATTTGTTAACATTGCTTCCCTGCTCAGCTGCTGATTGAATTCTGTGTGCTTGTATAAATTATGTCAAAGATTATACTGCACAGTTGAGAAGACAGCTGTTGCTGCAGTGACATGACAGACTGGAACAATGAAGCTTTTGGTTTTAGCCATCCAGGAAAATCCTTCTGAATGGTAATGTGATTGGGTGAGAACTCATAACCCACACCTCAAATGGGTAGGACTTTAATCTCCATCTTCCCTAACTAAAGGAATTAGAGGCCTAGATCAAGGGCTGGATAATTGACAGCTGTTAGTACTTAATATGATGGGCATCTGAAAGAAAGGATGGTCAGAAAAGAGGTTTTTTCATGCGAGTAACTAAGGATATCAATTAGGATGTGCTAAAACAGGACAAGAGTAGGCCAGAGCTGCTGAGGAGATGATCCGGGTCTCTCAATTTGGTGGAGAAAATGACAGCTCATCCATGTAGCTAGTGTGTGTCTCCCAGGAGGAGTGGGCATGTAAACAGTACATTGACCACGTTTTTAGAGCGCAAATCTAGGCCATGGACAAAAAAAAACATAGCCGAATTATTTGGTGCTGAGATTGGTCTTGAGAAACCTGGGACACATGGTTGCCAGAGTTATGGGTGATGTTTAAGACATTCATCAAAATCTGGTTTCTTTCAACAAAAAACCCCCAGTATTGTCTTCTGTTCATCACTGCTTTAATACTTTAGTTTTCACTCCATTCATCTTTTTCTGTCCACAGTTATTGAAATCAAGGTCTTATACTGTGTGCTGCCCAAACAACTTGTTCTCTCTCAGCCAGTTCTGTAGGAATAGAGGGAGCCAGCGCCAGTACTCATCTCAGCCCTTCAGAAGAAAGGAAACTAGACGCCTGCCTGTACCTCCAGCATTTGATTGTGTCAAGTAGCTGTCCAGGCCCTTGGAGAATTGCAGCCTGAACAGAAACCTGCTTTCATTGGGCTTTCTCCTCTCAGAACAGTTAGTAGCCCTGGGCTAAGCACTCTTAAATACCTAAGTCTCAGGGGCTTAAAGTCTGTTTTTCCTGTGTTAGTCCTCTTTCAAAACATCTTACTAATGCTGAGTTTCTTCTTGTAATCGGCATTCAAGGATTTCTCCTTCCACAGAATGTGGCAGAGCTGTGAGCAGCAGAGTCTACCAAGTTAGCATGGCTGCTTCTCTGAGCCCTGGGCTGGACAGAAGCCCTCAAGTTAAGATCAGCTGTTAGAGAATGTCAGCCCTGATGGAAGCACCCGTTTTTAACCTGGAGAGGGCCATATCATTTTTCCTTCTGCAGTCCAGTTTTCCTCTGCTCAAGGGAGCATTTGGATCTGTGGTATTCTAACACTCGAAAGTTTAGATGGTTCTTGGCAGTCCCTCAGCCATATATCTGTACTACTTTTTATTATTGAAGAAAAGCTGGTCTTGTTCTTGGGCAGTTTTCAATTATTCTTAACTCTTTGTTCCTGTGCTATAGCCTTCCTGCAGTTCAATTTCCTTATCTTTAGGCCAAATCCTGGGGCCTGGGGGAAGGTGCTTGTGATTTTCATCTTGTGATTTGGTTGGATCTATTTTTAGCCCAGCTTACCTAAGGTGCAGAGGGGTCGGAGGGATACATGTTTGGGCCAGCGAGTGATTGTCTTTGCCCTTAGGGTTTGAATTCTGGGGCCTAAAATAAGATCGCGGTGACACAAGAACCTCAGGAAGGGTTATGTCATTGGATTTGAGATGTGGAAATGGTTTCTTACAAACGAGGCCAAAAAAGCAGCTTGTTTAGCACCCGTAACTCCATCCTTTTGGTTTAGGTTTTTAGAGTGAAGGTTAAGAGTGCTGAGGTGTGTACTGTTGTAACTAGACCACCAAGCAAGCATACCTGTCAGGGCAGAGAGAGGAAAGGTCTGAACCCAGTGTATTTATTCATTTTGGCTCTACGATTCATCATAAAAGTTACGTTTTTCAAAAATAGAGGTGTTACCTGGCTTGCCCCTAAAAGCATATGCGCAGAATTGGGGTCCCCACCCGCCCAGTTAGTCACTGGATTTGTATTGAGCTATCCAGTTCCTGTCACATTAGTGTACATCAGCATTTACTTCATTCAATGGACAGTTTTTTGGCCCTGGGGATGCAAAGTTAAAAAAGATGCAGTCCCTGACCTCAAAGAATTTTCATACCATTGCATAGTGTAATAAATGTTATAAATGGGCACATATTTTATATTTGGGGGCAGAGACCACTGGTTGGTGTAGTTTGTGGTTCTAGAGTAGTAGGGTGATGGTTAGGTTCGTGTGTAGAAAAGATCTGTGACCTTGGATGAACCAAGGTAACTGGCCATAGATGAACTGCAAGGGTTTGTTTTAGCCCAGAAAGTAAAGATAACAGGTTTAGTTAGAAATGCTACTCCTGAGAGAGAACAACAGGTTAAGTGGGGGTTGAGAACCCCTGGGTTTGGTCCCTAGGTTCCTTGCCGAAGTATTTAATAGCATAGTTAATCCTTACTTGTGGAAAGCATCAACTGTGTTGCAGAGCCAGTTTTGTGTTGTTACTTCATCGTAGATTCTGTAAAATGTATTCCTTACAGATCAAGAGTTGCTCACACCCTTTTCAGTTTCTCATCCTTTTTGAAGGAATTAACATGAGGCTGACTTGGAGCTTAAAACAGGGACATACTTTCCAATGACAAAAGATGTGCTGAAAAGAAGGCTTGGGCCCATCTGATGACACCTGGGCCTCTGTTCTGGACAGTGTAGTTTTATTTCACGCTGCAAGATGGTGATTTCTAAGGAGATACTTGCGTCAGTTATGCGGAAGCCTCCCAGAAATACATGTGACCTGGAGTTTTAGACTTAATCTGTCTGGGGAGGTCCAGGGTGAGGCCGAGCCATGCTAAGAAAGCCATGCTAAGAAACAGTCTGACCTTAAGCAATGTCCTAGTTCTGACCATGTGACCACAGGAAAAATGATACTTTTCTGTGCCTGCATAATTGAGAGTTGGATTAATCGAAAGTTGACTTAAAGGTGAAGGTCCTTTGGATAGCTTCATAAAGATTCTAGTTTCTTTTTGCTTGCGCTGAATTTCTTGAATTTTAAACTACCTCATCTTTTTAGAGTTTCTTCAGTTTGTCGTTGCCAGTTTAACATCGTGCTTTACTGACTTTTCTCAGATAGAATATTTCCTCTTTGTTGAGAGCATGTTTTCTAGCCTTCTGTTCTGATCCTCATTTCACCTAACATCTCATGTTGCTCCTCTGTCAGAGAGATGTTTTAAGATAGTTTAAAATCTTGGTTC